TTTTAATTGGTATCGCACCATTAATCGTATCCTATTGAGTATTTCCAAGTGCTCACCATTTTCCCTATTCCTCACAGATTAGATCGGATCGTTCGTTGGCGGGCGATGAGGTGCAGTCGTGGTGCCAGAGATTTGGGATTTATAAAATAAATCCAGTGTAACAAGACTAATATTTTAATTCAAGTTTTTACCTTTGTATTTCTGTTATTTTGACTTTTACTTGGGGATTTGAAAACATTATTATACACGTGTAGATAATTTCAAATATTTAGTTCACCTTTTCATTTTACTTTTCTGTTAAATCTTTGAGAGTTGCCTTATATGTGATTTAAACGTTTTCATATAGTGATTACTCATATATGCAGTAATTAAAAGGTGTGATGGGTTAGTAATTCATTTATGGTACTCCTCATTAAATGTCTTAACAAATTAAAAGAAATGATAATTGATGCCCTCGAATCATGTCCCTGATTTTTAGATTATTTTTGAATATTATTTGATCTATCCATACATACATGAATAAATTGCAGTACTAGTTTATGATTTTTCTTATAAATAGTTTTCGTAGCAATCAAATCCTTTAAAAATTTGGGGTGTTACAACATAATTTGATTAAACTAAATCTCTTTGTCTATAATAGTTCTCAATAACTTATAAAATAGTTTTAGACATAATTCAACATATAATATTCATTATTTGTTTCGAAAGTGGTGTTGTCTTGTTTTGATATTCAGAAAATATTCAACTAAAAAATTTTAAAAAATTATTTTCTATCAATTTTCACGGTAATGCGTACTTTTATTTAACCCTGTTTGGCTGATTTTTTAAAGAGAAATTATAGTTTTAAATAGTAATTCTTTAAAAAATGTATGGGTAAAATGTAGGAAAAATTTATGACTTTACGTGCAAAATATTTAATTGTGTTCATATGATTGAAAATGAGTATGAGAAAAAAAATATTTAGAAAAAAAGTGTGTCAAACAGGGCTTATTTATTTGTATAGAATAATTGAAACAATATTAAAAATAGAAAAAATGTTTTATTAAACTTGAGCTTGTAAGGCTTGAAATATGACTATAAACATTAAGTTTTTATAGGGGATAATAGCTTAGATGATCATTGAACTTTGCACAAGGTTTTCATTCGGTCACAAAACTATACAAATCATCTTGTTAGTCACTAAACTTTGCAAAATGCTATCTTGTTCATCACTGATTGAAATTTAGTTTAAAAAAATTAACAGAAATGATGACGTGGATGCCAAATCACTAAAGTGTTACACACATGAAAAAGTGTTAGTCCTGAACATGTTTTCATAAAACAAAAAAAAAAAAAGAAGAAGAAAATCTCCCAATTCATCTCATTCCCCTCCCAAATCCAGATAGTCAAATCTAAATTTCAGTCCCGAACCAGAAGCCCAACCTCACGTTCGCAACATGGAATCATGCTTCAATCCTCTAAATCGATTATACCCAAAAACGTCAAACACGGTCGTGCTTCAATCAAGTGGTTCCGATTGAAATTGAACAAGATGGTCAGGAACAGCGTCGGGATCAAGAACTGGTGTTTTGGAGGAATGCCAGGTAACGAGGATCAAGAACTTTGAGAAACTTGAAAGCTTGTGAATTAAAACTAGCGATTTTGAGGAATGCATCAACTACTGGGATTGAATGAAGCCTGGATAAATCCATTTCAAATGAATTTTGCTTTTTTTGTGTTGGATTATATGGTATTTTTTGAAGTGCAACTGGAGTTGCTGTAATATAGTGGAACGAAACATTTTGAAGCAGATTTTTAAAATGCAGGCATTGAATTTTCTGTTATTTTGTGTATTGTATATAACTTTTGTTGGAAAGATTGATTTTATTAGTTGGTTTGACTAACTTTTGACAAATTATTTTAGGGGTCTTATTAGTTGGACAAAATATTTTTTTTGGCCGAATGTGTTCTACTCCATGAGTAGATTAATGTAATATATTTATTTTTTCAAAATCAATTTAGGGTGAATGAGAAATTAATGTCAAAAGATGAATGACCACCTGAAGTTGAAATATATTGGAATAAAAATTGGTAGAAAACTGAAAACTGTCAATCCCACATATGAAATTTAGAAAAATATAAACTACTTTATATTGCTCAAATTTGGAACTTGAATTTGGGCTCCAAAGAGTACAAATAGTCTTTGAAGTAGAGAGAGTCTACATGTTAGTAGGTGGGCAAAGTCCACACGCGTGCCCCCATCGTCGGACAGACCGTCTCGACATGGGCACGGGTCGGGGTCGTAGGCTTTGGCCTAACTTGGACTTGGGCCAAGCTGATATATATTTCTTGGTAAAATAATAATTGATTTATATTATTTTATTATTATTTAAAATAATAACATATTTAATTTATATTGTTCTTTCCCCGATTTTTCTATGCGTGACACGTTGATTCTTTTAGAAGGGCGATTGACAGTTAAACTGCATGTCCAAATGATTTGTGCCTATTGGAGTCACAACTTTTCGGCTGTTCTTTCATCTTCTATAAACAGGCCCCCATACCCCCTTTTTATTCACTCCAAAATCAATTCTCATTTTACACTCTTTCAGAAATTATGCTTTCGTCCCCGCATTATTCATATTTTCCAAAATCAATTCTCATTTTCGTGCATTTTAGTCCTCCAATTTTTAGAGAGATCAAAACGTGAGTAGGTTCGACAAGTCTTATAATTTGGAGTGATACTATTACAAGTCAAGGTCACTGTATCTTGGGAGACGAGTGCCAGAATACCGTTGCACTGGTGTGGGGTATTATTGTCTTAAAGAGAAAAAGTCGAACTTTGGCCTCGACCATTAATATTTTATATCATTCATTGTGCACGACGTTATTATGCCCAAATCAAATTAGGGTGATACAATTATTTG